GATGTCAACTGTGATATGTGAATGGCTCTTAAATGTCAAATTATTTAAAAATGTATATTTCTTTTGATATTTATTGCAAATAATAAATATCTCAATTCAGGCTTTCCATAAATAAAAGTACAGCAAGACAGATAATATAATGTTCTTATACAAAGCACTTTTTATTATATAAAAGAGAGGTAGGATATAATGCCCATTTCAAATTTGGATCATTAATGATACCAAGGTATTTTGTTGTTTTTCATTTTAATTATAAATTTGACATTTATTTGTATGTTGAAAGAAGGCCTTTGTAAATTACATTGCTCTATATGGATCTACTTTAACACAAAAATAGTTTTGTGGCTATAAGTTGCTATAACCTATCTTTACAAAACTATTAATAATTTAAACATAGTAAGTGATATTAATATAACATCAAGTCATTTTTTAAACAAGTAATTTTTTAAAATAAAGTACATGGTCTCAAAACAAATAAACTATAATAAATGCGGATAAAACGAGGGGTAAAATAACAATAAATTAAGGGAAATACTTAAAAAGGGCAGGTTTAAAGAGTATTATCACAAGAAAGTATATCCGTTCTCTTTATTTATCAAGTATTGTTTGAGGTTACTTTTGAATGCTAAGGTCATTAGCCCCGTGTTCTGTGTAGGCTTGGTTACTGTTTCCCAGCGCCACTTCAGGAACAGCACTGTTAATTAGAACCCAACAGTGAATGGTCGAGTAGGATTGTTTTTTTTTAATTTCTGTAGGCAGTCTATGAAATTTTTTTAAACCTTTAATAAAAATTGTATTTTGGGAACTTTTAGTGATGATTTGCCGTACATGAAAGTCAGATTGGTTTCTTGTATTATAGTTGTGATATTGCGAATTACATTGAATTTTTTCTAATAGATCTGATGTGATGGTACTATGTCATTTTTATTTTGTAAATAAATATTAGTCATGTACTGAACATAATTCTGATCTGAAAGCAAATTTATTTCTTTTAACATAGTTGCAATACTCATCCTTCTGTTCTTTATTAATAGAATATAAATAGGCGAAGTAAGAAGCCCAAATATTTTACATGAGCAGGCTTAAGAGGAAAAGGAGCCAATTATTATTGGAAAAATTGCTCGAACAAGTTTTTAAACCCTAATAAAAAGGCGATATAGAATGGTTTTAAAAATCAAGGCTTGTGAAAATCATCACATGGTTTAACCTAAGTAATTTCAATGCTTCACAAACCAAAAAATTCAACGAGCTAATACTACTATCCCCTTTCGGTATTTCGTTCCAAGTTAAATCATTTCTCGTTTTTGTTACGCTACGAGTTTACCCTTGTTGGCATCGGTCTCGATAAGGTGGAAACTACCATTTTAGCGTCTCTCGAATTTAATTTTTATTTAGTGAGTGCCTATTTTAAAAAAATCAAGTATGCCCTGCCTGGTTATCACGGGTAAGGAAAGGTGAAATGGTTAGTAAAGTGACTCCATTTCTATTGAAAACAAAGGATTTGGTGGATGTGTTTTGCCACGATTAAGCCGGTGATGATTGCATTTAAACCAGTAACGGATAAACTAGTGACAGGTTTAACTGGTCACTGTCCGGTCTGTTTCGACTGGCTTGGTTTGATCGGACCGGTTAACCGGATAATCGGACAGGTTAAGCAGATAATCTGACCGGTCGACCGGATAATCAGGCTGGTTAACCGGATATCTTAACCGGTTAACCGAATAATCGGACCGGTTAACCGGATATCCGGACCGATTATAACAGTAAAAATCCGGTTAAAACCGAAGCCGGTCAAAATCAGTGGAACCCGTTAACCGTTTATCACGTCAGGAATTAACAGCCTTAATATTTACCCAAAGTCAGTCCCCAAAGATATTATTTACGAACCTACACTTTACAAAAGCATTAACAAATAATGAATATCTTGAAAACCTTGCTTTACTTGGTGATTTTATGTTTAATCTTTGTAAGTAACAGTAACTACTTTAATTATGTTCCTATTGTTGTATTCTAAATGATTTTTATTTTTCAGGTCTCCTAGGAATTTCGAGCACTTAACTTGAACAATGTTTACAAACCATTAATCAAATTGTTTAGAAATTATGTTTAGCTAAACTCTGTTATGTCTGTTCTCAGCATTTTGAGGAAAATGCTTATTGCTTTTATGTAAAAAGGTATGTGATCTATCATTCATTAAGTGACTGGCTGAATGACAAAAGTCCGAGCCAAAAAAAAAAAAAATCTATCATGAAACAATTCTTTGTAGAAGACAAATACCAAGAAAATTGAAGCATTTACTTCAACAGATAGGAGCAGTATTAAAATCAAATGAAATAATATCGACTACGGTGGTGTAGATGTCTACGGCGCGGCATTCATTTGTCAACCAATTTTCTGGTAAACGAGACACGTTTTTAGATCCTACGGAAGACCATGTAAATTTATTTGCATGGTTCTCTATAGGATTTGATGGATGCTATATTAGCAGAAATTTAATTTTTGTTGATATGACATCCAGATTATTAAAATAAAATCACCATGCATTACCGTTTTTGATGATGGTGTGTGGGGTTTTCCGGGTTTTCCTCCCCTGTAAGTGAAATGGCACCATCAATCATCTTTAAGTTGCCTCGGAGTGTCACGGCAAATAATAATAATAGCCGTCCCTTTCCCCACACCAGCTCAGCTTTTGGGGTTAAAATTCACTCGTAAGGGGATGAATTAGGGAGAGTATTATTATATCATTAATATTATTATAATATAAATAAACATGTAAGTTTACTTTTTGGAACATTTATATTATAATTGTTTTTATTTATTTTAAGTTTACTACCTCTGGCTCATCTACACACCTGAAAGTAGAGGTAGTCCGCAGCCTCACTAAGAAAATGGCCCCCCTCTGCTAAATAGTTTATCTGGAACAGTTAGAAAATGACCTGTAATATTTAATTTTTTTATTTGGTACAGTAAACTGTGTAACAATTTCGGATAAACGGACATTTCTGAGAAGCAAAAGTACCACTGATCTAGGTATATGGATTTTGTACATTAGATATACACAGGAATCATAAAAGTAACAAAAACGTCTTTTAGAGCCACCATATGTCGACATCCATTTTACAATATTAAGTCGACGGACTAAGAAAAGCATAGCTAGACCATCGATTGCTATAGAAGCAGAAAGTAGAGAGATATGCAAGAGTTTTAAAAATGTACACTGGCAATCTAATGTTAATAAAATTATCAAACTTGTGTAATCTTTGAAAACGAGAATATTGATGGAGGTGATAGCAGTAATATCCATAGGGGTATTTTCTTGAATAGAAAATATTCAGCAATTTTATACTGTGTAACAACTGAAAGAAGACTCATTTGTAGATAAACAATACATGTATTTAGTTAAAAATTTAACAACTACATATAACTAATTTAAAAAAAAAATAACTTATACAAATTTAACGTGTCTGTCTCAGATAAATTATAAGATAAAAACCAACTATCATTTGCTGCTTGTCTGCAACAGTATATTCCTCTGGTAATATCTATTAAAGCTTCTTTAATCTTACATTTCTCTGTTTTTATTTTATAGATTCGTACCATATTTACATCTGAAAAAATGTAAAATATAATATTAGATTGTTTAGCCTCAAATATTTTTATTACATTACAAAAATAAAATGTTTGTTCATGTGCATGGGACTGGCGCAAAAAAAAACATAATATTAAGGTAAGATCATATGCACAGCTTTAGAAATAATTTAAAACCACTTACCTTTATTTCAAGATGCACTCGCAATTATAACTTTACTTCAAAGAAGTTTCTTGTATATTATTTAAAATAAATAAAAGTTTTTTCTACATATGTTGCTTTCATTTAAAATCTCAAAATACCAAGATGTAGGCTACCAGTTTAACATTTTGGAAAAATGTGTTGCTTAACCTAGTAGTAATTGCATCAAAATGGCCGCGCCCTATGTTGGGCGTGTCGGACGTGTTGCACCGTATAGTAATTAAAATTTGTGCTTTATACACATAAATTAACAGGTTTGCGGCAGATCTAACCGAAGTGAACGCAATACATTGGCGTACAAAATTAATTTTATGGATGTTAATAACAATTTCGAGTAAAAAGTTTAATAAATTGTGAATAGCTGTTAAAATTTTGTATAATTATGATTTGTATATTATAATACATGTTTAATAATTATTTGTAGTCCATAAACACATGCAATTGTCCGGATCCGCCGGTAACAATTTAAAATTATTTATTCTGTCAAACAACACTGGCAGGTAAACATTACTGCGAAATTCTTGAAGCCGTCAGACGTGGTTTGACATTTACCCCCTCTCTATCTACCTACAAACTATTTTTATTTTAAAGTTTTTTAAAATGATTAATTAAATTGATGTAGAATTTTATGCACTTACGTTTATTAACAAGTTTACGATATACCTATTGAAAGTGATAAGTTTTGAACTTCGTAGCGTAAAAATTATGCTCTTCGGTACCTATCAAATGTTAAGTAAATTAGTTAAAAAAAATACCTTAGTTTTAGACTATTTGTAAAATCAACATAATTGTACATTTTCTATTTTTGTTTATTGGCATTTTGCCATTTTTCTTTTGTATTTTATATATTTTTATTCTATTTTGTGTATTTTACGGTATTTTATATATTTTTTTTTTATTTTTGTGTATTTTATGCATTTTTATTCCATTTGTATATATTTGTATTTTTTGTTACTCCTACTTCACATGTTGGATATAAATAAACAACAGCTAAGTCTCGGGCGCAATTTTTTTAGGTTTTTATGTTTACCCTCATGTTTGTTTTACTCAAGAAGTTATGTTAATACAAATTTTATAAAAAAACTATTAGTAAAAATAAACATTATTATTTTATGGTTATTATTAACATAATTGTATTAGTTTTTATGAACAATAAAAGAACTGAGTAAATAAAACACATCTAATAATAAAAATAACACGATATATTATCTATTTTAAATAATAGAAATAAATAATATATCACAAACAATTGTTACCATCTTCGAGTCGAAAATTTTTATTAACACCGTTAATATTACCATTTAAATCCTTTATATTGTCATGATTTTCAGATTCTGCCCAAGGTTGTCTAATCCCTGTAGTAAAGAAGAAGCTTACAATTACTCCAATAAAATATAATCCTGATGAAATGAAGAACACTATCCTCCACTGAGTTATACTAGTCTAAAAAATAAATTATTATCGTTTTATTTTTTATTCTAAAGTTTTATGTCATATTCACATAGAGTGACATCATGTTACTAAATAAATTAGGCAAACATAATACAAATGAATGCATATTCATTAACACTAAATTGGCAATCTTTTAGAAAAGCAATTCGCGATTCAAGCTAAGTGATACGCCCTCAAGGAAATTTGTAGAAGGTGTTTATAAGTAGGACGTTGTTCAGTGTTGCCAGGAGTAGCGGAATTTCGCTACATCGTCAAATTTTTAGCACTTGAAGAAGTGCAAAGACCATTTTTTAAGGAGTACTCTATATTTATTTAAGGGTTTTTATAAAACCCATTTATTATATTGATTTTTTTCTTAGTTCATTTAACAATTTTGTTTTAAAATCAGTTATTATTTGGCAACATTTGCGTTCGTGTTCGCTTTAATTTGTAGCAATTACAATTCGATTTTTTTTTACTTGTGAGCAATATATTTTTTTATTTCTTATAGATTGTATAGTGTTTATATTAAAAATTAACCTTGTGAAAAAGTCCCCAGAAAATTGCAATCTATATGGTGTTTTTTTTTGTGTCATCGGCATCAACTGCTATGGTTATTAGCCTCGTGTTCTGTGTAGGCTTGTTACTGTTTCCCAGCGCCACTTTAGGAACAGCACTGTTAATTAGTACCCAACAGTGAATGGTCGAGTGGGGAATCCTACCAAGGCATCAGAATTAATTTTAAATTAAATGAAAAAATCCCGGCCAACGGTGGAATTCAAACCTGGGACCCTTGGATCCGCAGGCAGAGACTCTACCACTGAGCCACCCACCCCGTTATATGGTGTTAATGTCAAAACAAAACTGAAGTTTTCATTATCATCCAAGCGTGAGTCGTAAAATTTTGTTTCTTACGGTAAATGGATATCTACCAACGATGAAAAACTACCAAAATAATTTTGTTAACAAAACTCGAATTGCAGAGTATGAAAGAGTATTGGTACAAAGATGTGTTTATGGTTACAATTCGGTATTGAATGAACAAGAGGCTCTAAAGCGCACAAAAGGCCCTCATAATTACATTCCTACTGCCAGTTATTATCAGTTTAATACTTAGATAAAAGAAACAACAGAAGCATTTCATTCGTAACGTATTATTTGTTTGGCCCCAATTATTGGAAAAGAGAAAGAAGATATTTTATGCGGATTGAAAGAAGATCCTAGATCTCGTCTGGCAAAGCTGCTGTTACACGCAACTAAAAGTCTGTCGATACCAGTGGCGTATCTTATTAAAGATAAAATCATAATTTGCAGTAAATACTAATTTTGTGTAAGTTAAGGTAGTTCACTCGCGACAGTCGTACACAAAAATATCGCCCTATAGCGAATACCAACCGTTCGAGATTCTTAAATCGAGAGAAAGGTTATTTTTGTAACAGACTGTACACACAACACATGTGATCCTATATACAAATATGTTATTATATCGCGTAAAATCCATCCGGCAACATCGCAAATATATTGTGAAACGTCAACTGTATTCCTAAAGTGAAATAAATGTAAATATCAAAATGTTTCATTGTCAGGATCAATTAATTGCGAGATAAAGGAAAATTTGTTAAGCAGAACGTCCTCTACAAACGCAAAAAAATCAATTTTGGCTATGAATAATGCCAAAAAATTGAGAAAAGAACCCTCAAACGTGGAAAATAACCTGTGCAGTGGTCGACGCATCGTGGAATTACAGGAATTGGGAAAACATTTAAAATGTTGCAGGTGTGAAAGGGTTCTTTCTCTTGCAAATATTACAAATGAAACACGACAGAGCCTTTATTCAATTTTAAATGTTAAATGTAATGAATGTAATATTGAAACTATAGTACCTACGGACAAAGTTCATGCAACAAAAAGTGAAGTTAAGCATTCAGATGTCAACACTAAAGCAGTTCCAGGTAAATTAAAAAAAAAATACAAAAGTATTTGTTATGTTTATAATTTTTTTATTATAATTAATATATTTTTATTTATTTAAAGGTGCTGTCCATTCAGGGTTTGGTCAAACTGCTTTAAATAAATTTCTTGCTGTCATGAACGTTCCTACGATATCATCAATACTACAGAAAATCATTACTTTTATTTGTAATTTTTTATGACTTTCTCATACTAGTAAGTTAAAATTTTAAATTACTTTATATTCATTTTTTTTTGTGTAACTGTATTTTATTTTGAAGGCATATTTAAATAAAATTATATTCATCTTTTGCATATTTATTTAATTTTGAAGACATGTTTAAATACAATTAAATTGTTAAATCATATCAACCTAAAGTATAAACAACGTCCATTCCCAGAAGGACTCGAAGTGATAAACTTGACCTGTCCGCGGCAATAAAAAGGTTGGGAACCACTGATCTAACAGCACATACTTTGATTTTCCTTTACTATACGGAGAATGGTCGCACTGCGCAGCTTTCTGAGTGCCTTTTAAAAGGAGATAGAAAACTCCGTCATTTTGAACCTTTATTACGTGTTGCCTACATCTTGGCGCAATATTTTTAATAGGTGCGTTTTAATCATCCGCTTCTGCTTCGGAATTGTCAGTTTTCTTGTTTTAATCTGACAGGTTAAAACGACTAAACCGACAATTTCGGAAGCAGAAGCGAATGATTAAAACGCACCTGATATTTTGCTTGCTGCTGTCAGTGTCAGTGATTATTATTTTTGAAGTCACAGTTTATTGCTAAAGAATCAGTTAGCTCACTCGGACCAGTTGAAAGTTCCAAAATAACATCCACTCCAGGGATACAAATTCAGGATACGCAGAAGACTGCTGTTTTATTATAGGCGGTTGTCATATATTGTATTATCTGAGTTGCACAGTGTATAAACTGAAACATTGAGATCCAAAGTGCCGACGCAGAGTGAACGATCTGATTCTTTAGCTGTAAACTGTATCACAGGGTTCAAAATGGCCGCGCCCTACGTTGGGCGTGTCGGACCTCTCTTTTGCCTCGTATAGTAATCAAAGTATGTGTCAAACAGACATTTGAATTAGCCGGCGTTGAGTGTACCGATTACAACGTTGCCAAGTTGTAATCACAATACGCCACTATGCGTCGACTGCTTTAAGAACATTTTTATTTTAAAAATCTAAATCTCCCTATCAAAACGGTAAAAAAATTCAGCGTCTTTTTAGATTTACATTACATTAGTTTTTAAAAAATATGGTAAGAACCGTTTTCGAGATATCTTGAAATAAAAGCAATGATTGTGTACATGGCAGGGCTTCAAGACTGTTAATTATGCACATTTTGATTGTTTATATCTCGTTTTACAGACGGTCAAATTTTTTTATTTTTTTTTAGGTACATAAAAGACACTTTCATTAACCTCATATTTCAATTTTATTGAATTCTTAAGAAAAGCCGTTTTACGAGTAAACTACCTTAAATATTAAAAAATATAGCAAGGGTGGTGTTGAATGCTATGTATTTCGTAGGTTTGGAGAGCCCTTTTTATTTTTGGAAAGTATTAAAACCGTTAAAACTTAAGAGCATTAGTTTATTACACACTTAACAAATTTACTAACAGAAGAAAATCACATTTGACAAAGAAAAGAAGTTAAATAATTGCATATAAAAGGCAAAAACACAAAATATGGTACTTATTACTTTTTCGGCAAGCATCGACTTGAGCCTTAGAAATCGTGGTAAAACTGCACACTGTCATCTGTCTCTTTCGATCGAAATATCGATCTGGTAGAGATCTTAGAGTAGCACAGAGAGGACAGTGAACAATTTTTTTGTCACCTTGATATCGTATGAAAGATTATAATTAGAGAGAAATAGATTAATATCTCTATCTCTATATTTATTTTTCCAGTTATTTTTAGACAATTTTTTAAGTTTTTACTTAAATTCGTTCAAGTATGGTGTTGTTAAAAGTGACTTTGATTTGTAGGGTTTATTTTATACTAAGAAAAGACTTGTGTTTTATGTGATTTTAAATATAAAAGAGGAAGTGAGGTTACTTTTCACTCGTTAATATTATTTCTTACCGAAGAACATGAGCGTTGTTTTAGGAGAAAAAAGGAAAATAAAATATGCATATTAAAAAAAAAATAAAATTATTATTAGTGTTCTAAAATACGAATTAGAAGAAACTTATGGTTAGAGGCACTTGAATGGACTGAAATGTTAGAAGTTGAACGAATATATTACATTTGTTCAATGCACTTTTTAGAGGACAGCTTTGCTGCAACAAATATATTTATAAGTTTGTACGTTTCTAAATAATATCGAACACTTTTAAAAATTGTATCTTTACTTTTTACGAACTTTGTATTACACAAACAAAGTAGGAAAAAAAGAGTAGTGGTGAACTTATGTCCCCTTAAAAAAAAATAGAAGTTATTGTGTTTAATAAATTTGGCGAACCAATAATATGTTTGAATGTTTTTAGAATAGTAATTTCTTCAGATACTAAATTATTTGATTATGGGCCTTCTTTAAGAATATTAAACTTGCCAACAAATAAAAGAAGTTATAGTTTGAACAAAAGTACCTCATACACTTCAATATTACGTTCAAGGTATGACTCTGAAATTATCATCAACAAAATCAGAGTTACCATTAATTAAGAAGAAAATCAAACATTGGATTTGATCTAAGCTGATACATTAAATTGTATATGAATACCTATTTCAGAAAATCTAGATATTTTGGTAACTTTACATTGAAGTTTCTAGAAAATCGGTCATTTCGAAGACTTTTTTGTTGCAGTAATGCTTCAAACTTACGAAACAGAAATAAAACATTACAGACACAATTAAGATGAGTGAAAAAGTATGTGCAATATCAAAAAAATGATTGTTTTTGGAAGCATTACTGTATATATTTGTACATGGTCTAAAATATAAACTATCAACAGTAATATAAGAATATTTAGTTACCTAATTTAAATAAAGTAACTAGATAATTTATATTTTAAACAAAGTCATTAGAAAAGTAAAT